AGCCAGATATCCCGCTCTCTCCCGACCCAGGTTTGGAGGCTGCTGGGCCATCTCCTGTTTCTGCAGCTCTCCGGGAGCTTTTGGGGCTCACAGCAGCTTTGCGGGTGCCCTGGGGACTTGCCAGTCCCTTCTTCTGGAGCTGGGGGCTGGACTGGGCAGATTTCCTACCCACGGAGGGACTCTTGCAACCCTTGGGCTTGGCTGGCTCCAGTGTCTTCAGGCCTAGGATACTGCAGTAATGGTTGCACCGGTGGGTGGCCGCGAATTGCTCCAGCACAGAGGGGAAGCAGCTTTCCTTCAGCCCCTGGTACCTGCAACAGAGCCATCCTCAGCACCTGCTTTGCACCAGGAGATGTCTGGACAGAGCAGGGAGCTGAGGACAGAGCCCTGCCATGCTCACTGTCATGGCTTTTTGACATGTGAGCAACAGAGCTGGGGACAACTGGCTCGGGCTCACTCACCCTTTCAGGTTGGTAGCAATGCGCACATTAGTGATCTTCCAGCCCACTCCTGCAATGAAAGGGAGACAATCAGTCTCTGCCTAGAGGATAGATGCTGGCACCAAGAGCAAACCACTGCTGCATGGCACATGGGGAAAGAGGCAGGAGGACAAGCCTGAGGCTTTTTCTCCTCCTTTCACTGGCCAGAGAGTGGTGAGGGAGCACAGGAATCAGATGGGAGATCTCTTTACCTTCCATGTCAGTCACAAGGATGTTTCCATTTGTCCACTGGTAGACCCAATGCTGGAAGGTACAGCATTTGAGCACAATCTCTGAGGTGTGTCTTGTCACCAAGCTGCCATCTCTCTCGGTGACACAGTACTGCTCGCAAGGCCCACCCAGGTCCTCCTCCATCGTGGCGTAAGGGATGTTGTTGGCCGGTCGGTAGATCAGATACAGAGGAATTATCCTGCATGGGAGTGCACAGATGAGGTGAGCACCCCGCTGCAGCAAGCAGAGATTCAGGCCACGGTTTGCAACCCTGGCTCTTGCCTTCCCCCGCACAATATCCCTCCCATTTGAGGGTGGGAAGAGAGTGCACTGCCCTTCAGGATGTCCCCAGCACCCATGGAGAACCCTCCCACCATCCCACAGGATGCTCTGCCGGGATGTCAAGCCAGCAGAATCACAGCACTTTACTTACTCAGGCACTGCTCCAAAATCAGGGACGGCTCGTGCCTCAGCAGCGAAGATCTTGCAGTACTCGCGGCTGGAGTTCTGGATTTTACATTCCTGGAGGGATGAACAGAGGAGTCAGGGACCTGGTCTGTCTTGCAGCAATGCCTCCCAGGGACCCCCTGCCTGGCCAGGCATGCTCTGGGACCCCTGCCAGGTGTTTCCCTGTCCTGGTGGTCAAAGGACAAGTGACAGGAAAGCACTGAGCAGCTCGATGTTGCTCAGAGAGCAGAGCTGAAGCCAAGAATAACAAGGACGTTGCCAGTCCACTTGGAACATGGCTCCCGCTCCCCCAGAGCATTCAAAAAGTAGAAGAAAACAAAGAAAGTGGGCACAGAGCACCAATAATGGCTCTATGGCACGAACAGGCTGGCAAGGCGTGGGGGAGACAGGTGGAGGGTGCCCCATAAGAACGCCCACCTGGATGGTGATGTCGTAGTTCTTCTCAATGAGGCTGTTCTCATTCTTGGTCCCAAAGACAATGAAATTGTGCACTTTGATGATGCAGGTGCATCCAGACTCAAAGACGGGCTCCAGGCCGTAGATGGCTCTGGCACGACAGGCTTTGCGCAGCAAACCGGCACCCACTTCCAAGTCTTCGCTCACCACACGCCCGAAGAGCTTGTCCCCCCAGTAGCCTGCATCGGCCAAACCCTTCGCGAACACCATGGGCGTCATCTCGATCTCCTCTCCAACTGGTGGAGGGAAGAGCTGGTGAGGGGGGTACAACACAGGCATGTCCTGCCCCTGCCACAGGCTGCCTGTCCCCCGTGCAGCGAAGCACGTGGCCCTTACCTTCGATCTCTTCCCGCAAGATAAATCCTGACAGCACTAGAGGAGACAGAAAGCAAAAGGGTGTCAAGGTCTTGCTGGGAGCCTGCCCTGCCCTGTGCCACTGGGGTGGCTGCACCTTGCAGAGGTGGTGTTGCAGGGTGTGCAACGCAACCTGGCTCCGAGCCCTTTCTGCAGCTCACCGTACCACCCCATGGCACAGCGAGGCAGTCGGGACAGCTGCCAGGCTGCCGAGGGCTCCTCACCTTCTGGGCTGAGCAAGAAATCGGTGGAGTCAGTGCCATACTCGTTGCTGATCACGCACCGGTAGACCCCGCAGTCCTTCTGGGATGCCTGCACAACAGCCAAGGCTGCCTGGCTCTCATCACCAGCGCTGGAAGAAAGCGAAGCATGGCCTCAGCCCCACACGTGGGTACCTTGGAGGGCTAGAAGAGGTCTACAGAGGAAGCTAGCCCAAGGGCCATCCCAGCTGCTCCTGCACCAGCACCAAGAGGTGCCCTGCGGTTTGTACTCGTGGAGATGCTCATTTTGCAGGCTAAGCCCTGCAAAATGTGTCTGAGGTTGGGTTACAGACTGGTAAAAGTTGCTTGAATCCGAGTGTGGGTCAGGGCTGTGCTTGGGCTGACAGACTCATGTCTGGACAGGATGGCTGGAAGCCAAACAGCCACAGAGGTGTCCGCCTTCATTTTCAGCTGGTTGCAGGTGAGGGCAGACACAAGGGACGAGTTCTGTATCAGCAGGCTGCTGGTCTTCTCCAGCCTGCAGCACCAAGCTTTGGGCTGGCAGTTCCTCTAGCCAAGGTGGCAACACATCAGGCAGATGGGTCTCCACAAAACCCTCAAGGCCTGTATCTCCTCTGCATGTCCAACATGAACCAGCAAAGGGATGACAGGCTGCAAAGGAAAGAGGTGGGATCCTCATCCTAAGACCCGCTGGCTGAGCAGGCTCTGCTCTGGTCAGCTAGAAGGCAATGGCCACTCCAGCTCTACCTGCCCCAGCTGAAATATCTGCTGTAGGAAATCATTTCTGACCCAGAAGCACCTTCTTCTGCCTGCTTTTTACAAAGGTAGCTCAAGGGATGCTTAAAGGGATCAGGCAACTCCTACCTGATGTGGACAATCATAGAATCACAGAGCAGTTTGGGTTTGAAGGGACTTTAAAAGTTTATCTAGTTGCAAAACCCCTGCCACTCTCATGTGTGTCACTTGGGGTCCCCATTTTGCAGCTCAAACTCAGAGATGGGCACAGCACCTTTCCTGCCTTCCCCAGGGCTCTGCTACTCAGAGCGTCAGCCCTTAAGCCAAGCTCCAGATAGAGCATCAATAAGACAAATTGGGCAGCAAGTCCCCATCTGGGCCACCCCTGCGCACTGAGAAGGTGACGTTCACAATGCTCCGTGCCACACAACAAGCTTCCCATGCCCCTTAACTGGGGCATCTTCAGCCCCGTTAAATGCAAAGAACTGGATTTAACACAAGAAACCAGGGCTATGCACAAGGACGACAACGAAGCGTAGCTGGCAGGTTACCTCCTTTGGGTTTCTGCTACAGGGATCTCATCCTTGTACCACATCAGCTTAGAATCACTCACAATATTGAAGAACTGGCACCAAAGTTTCAGGTTTCCCAATGCATCGGAAAATTGTTCTGCCCTGATCTTACGGATGACCTGTGGAGCTAAGGACAAAGAGATTGGTGGTGAAACATGTAGCTACGGGGACAGGCCAGCCTACCCCGGCCCTGCTGCTCAAGACTTTAGCGTTGAGCATCCCACATGTGTCACCGCAGCCCGGTACAACATCACCTTCCCAGGGAAGGTCTCAGAGCTCTGCTTGGAGGAATATGGTGGGATACAGGTGGTGTAAATCCACTCAACTGCACAGCGCTGCGATACTCTGTGGGGCTTGGCTAGAGGCAACTACACAACATTGGAGGAAACATCTACTGAAGCAGGAGACCAAGAACAAGACAATTATGATTCCTTTGGCCAGGGAAATCCAAGGGACAGCCAATCTCAGTGCTGCTGTCACTTGTTTTCCTCCACCCTCCCTGCACTCAGGAAGAAATCTTGGGGCAGACTCCCGGCTTTCACTTGGCCAAATGGTGACACAGAAAACCCTGCAAGTGCTCAGAACTCACATGGCCCCAGGTCACTGGCTCCATTGGCCAGTCTGTCTTTGCAGGGAACAGGGAAACGTGCTCCATGGGGATCACTTCTTCCCTTACCTTTAAATGGGTTATTTGTTTTCTTGGAATCTGCTGGCTGTGCTTCTGGCTTAGTATCTTCAGGGACCTCATGGTCGCCACTGCTGTCACCTGTGGGCTCCTCATACAGCTTAGGGACCTCCAGTCTGTCCATCTTCTTTATGAGGGTCGGTGAGTGCTGCTCTGCAGGAGGGGATGGAGCCAGGGCAGGTGACTGCAATAGGGCTGTGTTCTTCCTGGACTGCCGTGGTGAAACGTTAGGACTCCTCATGTGTCCTGGGCTCTGTGGGGTTACCTCCTCTTCCTCCCCAGCCTGCCTGGGTTTTGGCAGGAATATTTTGCGCCGCGCCCCAGAAGCAAGCTCCTCTGGCGTGGCACAAGGTAGCACTGCCGGAGGGTCACCAAGGGTCTCTTTTTCAGGGCTTGCTGGAGGCAAATCAAAAACGGTGTTAGAAGGCTGCTCTACTCCTGCTGCCGGCACACTGCCCACCACGATGGAGGGCACAGAGAGCTGCGGTGGCCCCTCCGCCTTGGGAGTGACCCGGGGACGTCTCTTGGGTGGCACAGGCCTGGAAGCCAACATCTCCTTGCTGGTAACAAATTCCTCGTTAATCATGCCTGTGATCCTCCTAGATGTCCTGGGTGTCAGAGGCAAGTTCTCTGCTGTCTGGAAGAGCTGATTGTTTTGGACCTTTTCCAAAACTCTCCTGGAGGTGCGGGGACTCAGGCCTGCAATGCCTATCTCTGGGAGCGTAACCTCCTGTGCATCGTCCTGCTCCTTGTCCCCGGGGTCAGTGTCTTCCTTCATGGCATCCTTACCGCTGTCTGACATTTTTAAAAGCAGTAGCAGGTAGTTCTTCAAGGAGGAAACAAGGTTTTTGTGCTGCATCTTCTCCTCCAAAGACATCTCTTGAGGTCTCTCGGGGCTAGGCAGGACCAGTGGTACTTGTGGCTGAACCTCAGGACCTCCTTGAAAAGTGCCCAGAGGTGCTGCCAGTTCTTGGTGAGGAGCTGTGGCTGTTTGCTCTCCTCCTTCCTTCCCCTGAGGTCCTACAGACGCTGGTTTGGCACTTTCCTCCCATAACGTGCTGGCTGAAAACCCCTCCATTGGGGCAGATCCATCTGCCTTTTTGATGTCCGTCTCTCTGCTCGCAGTAGGCAGCAGCTGGGCTCCAGACAGGACCTCTCCTGCCGTAGCCTCCTCCCCTGGAGCACCATGAGCCACAAGCGGCACCTCCTGAGCCAGCGACATCTCCACTGCAGGAGCAGGAAGCAGCACTTCCTCAGCAAGTCGAACCAGAGCAGGAGCTGGCATTTCAGTCTCCCGAGGTCCCAGAGATGTTCCTCTGACCTCCCTGTGTGCAGCCCTAGGAGACAGCTCTGCTGCACCGCTCTCTCCTGTCTCTGCCCTGGGATGGCTCCCAGACAGCTCTTCTCCTGCCTCTTCACTCTTCCCATCCTTGACTGCTGTCTGAGGCGTGATTTGCTCAAGAAGAGTTTTCCCTCCAGGCTCTGGAGGACTTGACTTCTTTAGTGACGGCTCTTCCTCACCTTGGCTTTTGTCCTCTCGATGTAACAGTCCTTGTTGGATCTCTCTGCCCTCGAGAGCATGGGAATGTCCTTCTCCCTGCTTCCTAAAGGGAGGGTGCTCCTTGTTGGACTGCACGCAGTCTGGAGAAGGTGCTGGTGGCTTAGGTGGCTCCTGAGACCTCAGCCGAGGATTTGTCCTTTTCCCAGCCCCGCTGCTCTCCTGGCAGACAGGCTTCTCTTTCCTGAGCTCCTCTAACTTAGTGGCTTGCTCACCAGTCTCTGTGGTTGGATCGGACACTGGATGTTTTAGGTCACTAGCAGACTGTCCCACTGTTGCTGCCACCTAGTCAAAAAAAAAGCAAAAAGCAAACATAATAGAAAATTGCATTTTGCTGCCCGGGTCTGCTCAGTGGGGCTTGCGGTCCATCTGCACCATATGGTGCCACCCAACTTCTCCTTGAATCCTAACTATTAACCTGATATCACTGATATCCAGGGCTTCACCATCGTTCCATTGTTCCACAGCCCAAAAAACATTTTTTCTTTTAATCAGCGTTGGTTCTACTGCCTTTCAGTGCCTCGATTGTGCACAAGGAGGCAGGAGATCTGCCTCTCTAACACATTCAGTGTATTTTAATTCAATCTCCTTCCGACACAGTGCCTTCCCAAGGAGCAAAACTTGTCTGTTTCTACCAGCTGTTGTGGAGACCTTGTGTAGTTTCCTTGCTCTTTTTTAAGACTCAGTGTTCCGTCTGTACTATATCTGCAGTCTCTGCTCTGAGATGGAGCGATTGGCATGTCACACGCTTATCTGGATGAAGCTGCCCCGGTGATTTATTGCGAAACCATACACCGTGACGTTATCTGCGCTATTCAACCATCCTCTTTCTTTGACATTCGGGAAGCTCACATGTTTCCGACTGCAGTTGCACATCAGCAGACGCTTCAGCAAGCCGCCCGCTGTGACGGCTGAGCTTTATCCTGAGGTGATCTGGCAAAATCCTCCAGCCAAGGGGCACTATCTCTGTTTGTAAGATAAGGCTCAGGGAAGGCGGAGATGCTGCTGACACGCTGCGCCCGGCTGATGCTCAGCTAGCAAGGTCAGCACAATCACACCGGAATAGGGCATGCACGCAACAGGTTCCCCTTCCATCCCAGAGGATCTGCTGCTAAGGGTTTTCTCCTAAGGTCTCTGACTTGAGCTTCAAGCTTCCAAAATGAGGTCTACCCCCAAACGCCTCACGTCCATGCTGCTGTTCCCCTCCGTCACGTCCCTACCCTGTGCTGATGGGCTGAGTGTCACAACAGAGACCCCTGGTGCTCAGGCTTGTTTGAAGAGACAGATGGACTTCAGATAGAGAAACCCCCTTGGATTTTACCACAGCATTTGGCCCCCCGTGGCATGGAAAGGAATGGGGATGGATAAACCCAATCTAACCACAGGGCCAGCCTTGGTCCTTCTGCTCGGGGGAATCAGCAGCAAAGTGCTCAAGGGACCTGGAGGTGGACTAGGGCTGGTGGTTCACAGGTGGATGAACGGAGGCGTCTGGTCAGTGGGGACATCTCTTTGGCTGAAGGGGACTTGGGGAAGGTTTGCTTATCACGAATCCACAGATTAAATCTTATTGAGAAAAAGATTTATAGGAGCTTTTCAGAAGAACATCTGTCCTTAAGTAATCATAAACCACTCAAACTAGGGGCAGATGAAGGAAACAGAATAAAATCATCAGTTTCAAAGCTAGGCAAGAGAGGAAGATCATGTAAATCCAGCTTCTTCTCTGCTCTTGTGTGTGAGGATGTTCAGAGCCTGGCTACAGTCTGGCGTTTTGCAAAGCCCTTCTGCTATGGATAAATCTATCTCAAAAGAGAAGTTCTGAGCATGAGGGTCAGCTAGGTCCCAAAGCCAGGAAAAGACTAATGCTATGACCCTGTCTTGTTTAAGGGAAGGATTAAAAAAGAAAAAGATAAGCAACCCGTGTCCCAGGGAGTGAAAATAACCTCAAACACATCCGCAGTCAGATTTCAAGCGCTTTAAAAAAGCTCATTCGGTCACACAAAAGCCTGAGTGCTTTCCCCAGCACCACCAAAGAGCTGAGGCATTCAAATTCAAATTTAGATCAAAAACATTCTCTTTTTTCTACTCAAAGGCACACCAGCTGAGAAGTTACAGGTTTCCCTCTGTGAGTGGGTTTTGAAGAGGAAAACACCTTGATGCGTGTTAAAAGGCTCAGGGATGACAGCCGGAGCCAGGCTGCTACACACCAACACTTTCCACCTTCCTTGAGAGCAAGGGGCATAAAAATGAGCGAAGGAGAAAATGAATCACTCTGCCGTGGGCTCCCATGCACAGGCAATAATTTTTGCAGCAATATGTGATGCTGATGGGTTCAGGTCACCTGCACTGTGGTGAGGCCAGGACCCAGACACTCACTTCGCTGCTTAACACAGCAGGTTCCTTACCAGCAAGCGGTCCTCCTACCTATAGCTAAAGAAATCTAGAAAAAAGGAATTTTATTTTCACCAGTACAGCTGTCAGTCCTGCTCCACGTATCGTGGATGTTTCCATGGCCTGAAGTATTCGTATTACCTGCTGAGGGAGATGTGTTGCATCCAGAGTGCCTCCTCTGGCAGCCTTGGTCTGTACCAAAAGCTTGCACCTACCACAGCCCAAATGCCAAATCCTGACAGCCCCTGCACGTTAGGCTCGGGGAACCTTTCACCACAGACGTGGTCATTAAAGAAAAAAGTGGTAGTGGTGGGGAAATAAGACTGGTAGCTTCCAGCCTAATATTTTCATGGAAAACACTTCAGGTTAAGTGACAAAAATAGAAGTTGACTAAAAGACGCATTGAGGGTCAGGAGCAGGTGCTGTGCTCTGGCGCTGCGTTGCCACCGCAACGAGACTTGCAGCAGAGTTTTTTCCAATATGGAAGAGCCAAAAAAATAGCCCAGATCTACTGTATACATGTTGCACTGTAAATAAAAATCAATGTTGTGCCCAGCTCAGCTCGCGGGGCGTTACCTCATTTGCATGGGGGGTTCATTAAACGCTGGCTGAAGCTCCGGCTCGACTGCTAAACTGTACAGATGTCATCAGCCTCACTGCCCATCGTTACGCACAAGCTAGCCACCCCCCAACTATAAATAAGCCACCCAGTGCTCTGTGCTTAACTGATTTGGAAACATTTCGCATGAGGTCAGCCTGCTGATTAAACAGGAGAGCTCACAGCGCGCCCGAGGCCACCCAGCGACCAGCTGCTCAGCCAGAGGGCCCTGACACACATCTCTCCTCACCACCTCGCCTGATATTTATTTGGAGATGGGGTGGAAGCTCTGCTGCCTGGGCACACCTAGTCCACAAAGCCCTTTCTCCTGAGTGCCAGTGGAGACCTACGAAGTCTCGGCAGCAGATCCAGTGAGGTATGCGTAGCCTCTCTCGGCCAGTGCCACAATACAACCACGGGGCATGAATATTTTCTTGTCGCAACCCTGCGTTGGCTGCTTTCTGTCCTAGTTACCTCTGGACCGATGGCTCTGTTTCCCTCTGACTTCTGCACCTGGTGCTGGCTTCTCTGCCCCTCAGGTGGTGCAGGTCCTGCTTCCAACACCTCTGAGGACGACGGAGCATCCTCTGTCTGTCTGCTGACTGGCACAGGCTGCAGGACAGCCTTGCTTGCAGCCTCTTCCTTGGCTCCCACCTCTTCCTTCCCTGCTGCTGGCTTCACTTGCTTATCAAAATACATCTCTCGCAAAGAGAAGTGCATGTCGCCATTGATTTTAGCATCCTGATTCACAGCTTTCCCGGGTTCTTTGATTTTTGAACCTTTTTCTGCTTCTTGATCGTTCGCCGCCCTCAAACGTGCATCCCTGCGCAAGGCAACAGGAGGGGCAAACCTCGGGTTCAGAGCGGGGCTGGCCCTGTCTCGCCCACTTTCTTCTTGCTTGGAAGCTTCCTGCTTTGCTGCTGGAGGAGCCTCCACCTTCTTTTTCTTTTTAGCCGCAGAGTCTTTTGCCTTTGGCTTAGTTGCTAGGTCCTCCACCGTCTCGTAGATGTACGTGAGAAAGCTCTTCCCGTTCTCCTCCACACTTTCCAAAGAGGCATCTCCGTTGGTGGTCACCTCTGCTTTCAAAGGGGTTATCAGTTTGCTTGGGAATTGCTCCTTCGGCTCAGTGATATTCTCATGCAATCTGGACTGAGAATCAGCAACATGCACCTTTGCTGCATCCTCCTTCTCCCACGGAGAGGCTCCCAACCGGAGGTTAGGATCCCTGGCCAGCCTCCGCTTTCTCTGAAGCCGGTCAGGGCTCATTCCCTGCAACCTCTCTACCTCCACGTTTTCTTTCCCTCGCTTCTTGCCCCGTTCTATCTCTCGCAACTTTTCTTCAGCTTTTCTCTTAATTTTGTCGAACCACCGCTGATGGATTTTGAACTCCGTCATGGTTCCCACTTCGAGCACACCAGAGCAGGACACGATGCCTTTGTTATTTCTAGCTGAGGCCTGGTAAATGCCTGCATCTTCTTCTCGGCACCTGGAAACCAAAAGCTCTGCATGAGACCTACCCATCCTCCCCAGGCACTACTGCTGGGCACATGGGCATGCATGCTCTCCCAGTTCTTGCCAGAAGATGAAGATGTGGCCCTTGAGGTGCCCGCAGTAGGTCTGGAGACCTGGGGCTGACCTCCCTCCCCAGGCTCTGTGTGTTCTCAGCACTAGCAGATAAGCAAGTTGGATGTGAAATCAGTGCACAGCTCCGCCCTGGGCTGTAATGCTGATAAGAGAGGGCTGTGATGGAGGAAGAACAGCCAGCACCAGGCTTTCCACCTGTTCCTGGACACATTCCTTTGCATGATCATCTCCTCTCAGCTCTTCACAGCCTACATGATTCTGTTCTTCCTTCACCTGACTGCCCACCCCACTGCAGAGGCACCAGCACGACCACGTGCATGCTGACTCCGCTGCCACCCCTCGGGGATGCCTGGCCCATGGAGATCTCTGCTCCTGCGAGAGGTGACCCAGCCTCTGGCGGAAACCTGGACCACACTCAGGGCAATGCAGAAGCCCAGGCCAGAAGCACGAGGATGACAGGACTATCAGCATCAATGATACTCTGCACTGTCCGGTGTTACCTCACAGCAAGAGGACCCTAGGAAGGACCCTCCTGGGACAGGACTGCAGCCCTTTCCTCTTGCTTAGGATGCTCCTATAAACTTTTTCTGTCCTTGTCCTGCCTGATTCCCCCAGATCACCATCCTGGAGGCAGCCAGGGCTTTCCTTTGGCTCACCTTCATCCAGCCCTAATGCTTGACTGCTCTCTGGTGCAGCCGTACCACACGTTGCTACCAGCATGGGAAAGCTCCAGAGAGAGGAATTTCTCCTGACCTTCCTCTTGCTTCTGCTGTAGCAGCTATCCCTGGATGCAGTAATGGATCTCACCCTGATGTGATCGGGCCCATGAGAACAAAGAGCTGAAGGGGAAGGGACAGCCAGGAACATTGCAACAGGGAGCAGAAGGGGCCAGCACTCGTGCAAGGGGCAGATTGCTGCAGACGATCAGCTTCTCCAAATCCTGAAAACAGGCTCAGGGCTCCCATCACCAAAGCCAACTGCCCTCCAGCTTCTTTACTCACTTGTACAGCTGCAGGGTGTGGCGATTTCCATGACGGAATATCTCGTACTTGGGTAAGCCACAGTAACGGTCCATCTCTTCATCATCCTTATACCATGTCACCTCTGGCTGCGGGTACCCTGGGGAGGACACGGATGGTACATCAGGGTGTGAAACATCACAACCAGCAGCACAGCCAGCCTGCTCCCAAGGGGAAAAAAAAGCATCAGCGTCAAAGCGAACTGCTCCAGCAAAATAGGATCTGTGTTATTCTGGGCTCGCTGCATTCTTTAAATCATGCAGCAGAGAAAGCATTGTGAGTGGAAAACCTGACGGGCTTATTGGAGCCTTTTATCACTGCTAGGAATAGGGCTATTTTTGAGAAAAAAATCCCAGCACTTCATGCCTCAGCAGAGGGGAGCTGATCACACGATCATCTCCTGTAACACTGGCCAGGAGGAGAAGGTGAGGATATTGTCACTTTTATACGAAGGGGTGTGTTTTGATGAGACGGAGGCTAAGGTTAGAAAACAGGCCAAGGTTAGAAACCCCTCCATGGAGCTGGCAGCCTTTTGCCCAGTGTCATGGCCTGTAAGCTGATCCAAAAAGTTTCCATAGAACAGAAACCTTGATTGCATCACAGCCAGCTTGGTGTCCTGCAAATGTCACTTGACAACAGATGTCACCTGCCTTTTCAGTAGGATGACTTCATGGCGTGTGTGACTGGCTGGGCTGGCAGGGCTGGCACACGGCCACGCT